AAAAAAAAATTTTAAATAGCTTCTTTTTCTAGTCGGTTTTTTATACACAACTATCCAAATAATGCAAGAATTGAAGCCTGTTATGAATCAAATGGACAATTATACTATTCATATTATAATGTTATTTCTTTGGGGAATTATCCCGCCAATCCAAAATTAACTCAAAAAACTAGAAATCATATGCCACAATATCTAGTATCTGATAATTATATAGTAGAAACAGAAGTTGCCAAAAAAATTTTAAAATGTAAAACAAATTATGTTGTAGGTTCAAAAATATGTTATGTAATTAGTTGGAAAGAGGGTCGTACAGAGTGGAGTATTAATAGCACAAAGTCTTCAACAGAAGTTATTAATATATTTTTACAGGTATATTTTAATATTTTTGTATTTAATTAACTAGTATTTAAATAATAAATGTTACTTAACTTTTATATTTTAAAGAAAATAAATCAGAAAACATCTAAACTTTCAGGACCTCGAGTTTTTGGATTTGATATTAAACCTTTACATAAAGCTCGCTTACAAATAGAATATACATGTTCAAAAACCAACAAACGAAATAGACCTTTAGAAGATATTACATCACCATCACAACAAAATAAACGGCTTAATACTTTTGGAAAAGATGCTCAAAATGCAATAAGTCAGTTAATTACTAAACATAAATTAACAGATTTATCTGGCAAACCAATTGTTTCTATGCGACATATTAATTTTAATTTTAAAAAAGAACAAGTTAAAATTAAATTTTCAGACTCAAATACTCAAACAGAACTTGATTCAGTAGTACGTGCATGTGATGAAGCACTTTTAGGTCATGATGGCTATCGACATTTAGCAGCTGTTGCACCAACTCTTTTTCATGAATATTTGGTTGCAGATCGACGAAATAAAATTAATGAGATTATGAAAAACAAGATATATATACAAAGTTTTAATATTGATAATAAACAATTTAATATGGAAAATAGTATAAATGAATCTATTGATGATATTTCAATAAGTAATCAAGATAGAGGAAATGGAGTTTATCGCTCAATTTCAACATTACTTAAAGTATTAATACCTATTTGGAAATCTGGAGAAAATCCTACAATAATTTCAGGCGATATACTTTATCTAAAACTTGGTGGTGATGGACG